CAGTGCAACTGGCGCGATCATGCGTTTTGCACAGTTTCGACTAGTAGGCGTTATTTTTTGAAGATCTTCACTGTTTTACAGTTTGGTTTGTGAAAAAAAGTCGATATGCTGTTTGGTCTCTAAGCTGCGAAATCCCCTATTAAAACATGCACCAGTACGTAAAAAGTAAACGCACGCGAAAGCTGAATTTGAAACCCTAAATGGTGGACCATGTTCTAAAACTCTGGAGTCTCCTGGTTCTCTTGTCTCCGAGTAACTTTCGCGCCGAAACTTCCGCGTGGTCGTACGTAAGACCTCGCCATACTTGGATGCTAAGTTTAAGTTTAGGTCTCTGCATGAAGAGGAAACATCCTCTTGAAGTTTTCAGCTTCCCAGATTTTCTCGCTCCAGAGATAACAGTTTTTTCTGCTAAAGCTCTCACGGGCTGTATATGGGACCCAGGCTTACCCGAAAGCAGAATTCGAGTTTACGCAGTTGTACGCAGGAAAAAGACATTCTTTCAAAATTTTGGACTCTCGGCTTTCATGGTTCTCGAGACAGCAATTTCTCTGTTGAAGTTTTCACGTGATGGCCAGGCGAACGTGAAAACAGAAATTTAAATTTGCGATGTTATCCTAAAATTTCAGCCCCAGGTTTCTTGGATCCGAAATAGTAATTTCCCCCGCCAAAACTTTCACACGACAGTACTCTGGTACCCGGGGGGTACGTGAATGCTGAATTTCAATTTGAGAGCACGTAAGCAAGGAACATTCTACCAAAATTTCAGCTTTCCAGTTTCGTGGTTCCCGAATTGAAGCTTCCGGATAAAAAATATACTCGAAACACACATACACATGCACACGCACACAGAGAAAGGTCCTCAATAATATGCGTTTTGTGCAACTGTTGCAGCACAAAAAGCATAAAAATGATAAAAGTAATGGAAACGAACGCTTCTTTCGGTTTCAAAGTTCGCCAGCAGTACGCTGATTCGCTGCGATTCGCCTTCCTGGTCCTTAAGCTTGCTTTCCAGATGGAATTTATGTGCGTCCCACTGCTCTTCGTGGTCGCGGAGCACGCGTAGATCGCCTTGTGCCGTTTCCAAATCTTTTCGCAAATTTCGTACTAACTCCTAGAAATGTAAAAAGTTGGATGACTCAGTACCCGGGAAGAATATATGTGAGAAAAAACACTAGAATGTAAACACTAGAATTCCACAGAATCCTTCCTCGTGTGATTCGTAACAAAACTAGCCCTGCATTTTTAGGCTTCCATCTCACTTTCCTTTCTACCTGCAGCTAATCTACTGAATTAGTAAACTGATTTAATTTAAAAAAAAAGTATAATGGCAAATCGTTCAATCCTAATAGACCCTAAATGCAGGGTATGGGGAGGATGAAAACTAGGACGACTGCTAAATTGGGACGGATTCATAATTTAAGGCGCATTGGATTCCCCTTCAGAAAGAAGTGACGAAATCCTAGCATTTTATATGCAGTCTCAGTTTGAAAAAGAATCTGACTCTGGTGCCGGACTGTCGAAAATCCATCCACTCAACATACTGTAGCCGGATACGATTTTTCTAATCAAAGCCGGAGAGATATCACTGAGCTCCTCACTGAACAACTTTGCAATTCTTTAAAAAAAAGCGAAATTTAATACATTAAGCTGGCGTATTTGCGCTTCTTTTCCACGTGCTTCCATTTCGAAGTTTGCCATTTTAGTCTTCAGCTGACGTCGCTCCTCATCGCGCTGTTTCAGCGCCTCTTCCTGGGAGCGCAGAAGCTGCTTCGCCGATGCTAGACGCATTTCCAGTGCTCGCTTATCTGTAAAAAACCGACGTGTAAGCACAGTACTGAGCAGGCCGAAAATTGATTAGAAATACAATTTAGATTTGAGTAATTTTGCAAAAATTTTCTCGCAAAACATGCAAACTGTTTTGTAAAACGCTTCACAGTGCACAATTTAGGAATACAAAAATGCCATACAGCCTAAAGGTCGTAGCGCCGTATTAAATTCGAAAGCAGTCATGGCTGAAAGCCAGGGCG